GAAGAGAGTAAGGAGAGTTGGTGATCTCTTGAACAAATCACCCCCTAGGCGCCAAGATAGGTACCTCAAGAAAAGGAAGGGACAAGGGAAAACAAGAGGGTTTTCCCGTGGACCGACCCGTGACGAGATCCTATTCCCGGGTCCATAACATTTTATTGTTGGAAAAGGAGCAAAGAGCAATACAAGAAATCATAAAACTTGCTGACTGATACAATTTGCTAAAACCTAATAGATAGATATCCCAGAAACAAATTATCACCTTATCACATTCGCCTATAATCTAGGGCCATAGTGGAGGCCCCTGATATAGGGAGCTTCCCTATCAACAAGGTTCAAAGATATGATATGCGCCATATCAGGCGTAATTGTATTAATAGGCCACTGAAATGCTTAATATTAAGAGTTATAAGATTTGATGTTTTCAAACGTTAAATACATGTTTTATAATACCCCTGTAAAAATCTGAAACAAAAAATAATAGATAAAAATAGTATAATGGTCACCAAAAACGCACAATATACCTATTTGTGCATATTGATACTTCGAACTTTTCCTATCAAATTTTTCCTAGATAAAAGTAGGCAGAGCTTTGAAGCCATCTAAACAAGAAAAATCAAATCTGTGGAAGGAAAAACTCATAAAAAATTCAATTATAGAAAGACCCCCATTTAGTGAGAAAACTGCAATGACAAGAGTGCCCCTGTCCCAATAATATGGATATGATAAAATCCACTCTAAGTTGACTGAAAGCTTTAGTAAACAGATCTGCAAGTTGATTTTCTGATTTGGTGTGAGTGGTGATATCTTTACTATGGACCTTACAAACAAAATGGTAATCAACCTCGATGTTTTTTCCTCTCTCATGAAACACAGGATTTATAGGTGTGTGGTAGCTTGATTATCGCAGAGAATGAAAGTGGAAAAAACCTTTTTTTCTTGAAAAAGATTCTTCAGACACATTAAATCCCATGTCTTATGATTCATAGCTTGATATTCTGTTTCAGCACTTGATTTAGCACCCATGCTCTGTTTTTTACTTTTCTAGGTCACAAGATTCTCATCATCATCATCATCATCAAAGCCTTATCCTGACCATATGGGGTCAGCTATGTAAACCCTGCTTCACCATTCTGTTCTGTTTAATGCCATATAGTGGATTTGCAGCTAGAGTGTGAATTTTCCCAGTCTTCATTAGTAAAATCAGATATATGTTCCTCAGGAAAAAGAGAGTGGTGCCGCTCCGGTGCTTGATGGAAATTTGGACAATTCTTTAACTCAAGAAAAGGAAATGATTGTTGGAGATGGTGGGGATGTATTCAAGAAGCAGTAAGAAGATTCAGAGCTGAAAACCGGAGGGAGTCTGGAAGAAGCAGTGAAAACATTTAATACAGTTTGAAGGTTCAGAGCTCAAAAGGCAGGGGTTGGATGTATAATTCAGTATAGGGATGGGAACATATGTTGGACTTTTAGTGGCCCGAATGGTTCTGCTAACTCTACAAAGGCAGAAATAGTAGCAGCCTTCACGGGTCTTTATTGTCCCAAAATGCTTGGAATTTACTCCCTAGTTATTGAAGGTAATTCAACCAATACAATAAGATGGCTAATAGAAAAAGACAATGGACCTTGGAATTTGGCTCATCTTTTGGCAGAAGCTAGAGATATTTTGAACTCAATGCAGGCTAAATTGAACTGGATTCCTAGGGAACTGAACACTGTAGCAGATGGATTAGCTAAATCTGGTGCTCATAGAGATTGCTTATTTAGTGATAGTGCTCTTCCTTTGTAATCCTTTCTTTTTTTTCTCTCTGGTGTACGAAGGAGGCTAGAAGAACATTCTCATAAAGCTGATAAGAGTTTTTGAGTGGGAGTCCTGGTGGGATTGGGTATTAGGTGTGCCATTCCTGCGGGTGTTGATTTTGGTTTGTAGGGTCTGGGTTTTGCATTAGTGTTGCAGATTGGTTCTTGTTTTTGCTGGTTTGCAAGTATTATTCAGTTGTTGAGCTGGTTTTCTTTTTGGAGCTTGGGGTTTTTTTGCTTGGTTTTCTGGGTTTGTCTCCTCGGGTGATTGCTTATCACCACCTTCTTTGTAATTGTTTTTTGTTTTAATAAAATTTCTTTTATTTATCTTCAAAAAAAGATTTTATTGTCATAATCTAAGCAAGATATTCTTTTTAAGGCAGAATGTTTAGTTGTCTAATGCCTTTTTCATACATAAAACTCATTCTGCCAGATCAGGAGCTCTGCCACTGAATGGTGGTATCAAGGAGTACTTTCATTGGGTTTTGTACCTTCCAGACTATAATGCTGTATTTACTGGTAACTATGGGCTTGTAGAGTCTTGCAATCAAGGTTCCCAGATTGTGAGTGATAGTTTGGATAGAGGCCCTTGGAGACTCTCACCATATCAGAGAGGTGAAATCTTTGATAGCCAAAGTGAAACTACTAACTCCACTTGGTTCTTAGATAAGCTAGTTTGATTTCAGACATCTTGGCAAGAGAGTGATATTAAGGAGTGGCTTTTTATTTACTTATTTAGTTTTCTTGGCATGGTTTTGTTATAGTCTTAGGGGTTATGTGCTATATTTCATAGAAACTCAACTGAGGGTCTTGGGTAGCCATGAATTCATTATTTTCACATGGTATTCCCTCATACTTCTAGCCACCTCTACATTAACTTATAGTATGTATTTTTTATTTGTTTCTTTAGTTAAAGATATTATATAACATCTGAGTTCTTTTTCTTCACTGTTAGGGATGTCTAGATACCAATTACACATTATCTTCTGTCATTTGTTTACCTTTTTTGCCCCATCTATTGTATTTATGTTCTACCATTAACTAAGGTTTCCTTTTCCAGGGAATACCTTTTTTCCATTCTGGTGATGAGCTATTACGCTCTAAATCACTTGATCGTGACTCATATAACTCAGGCGATTGGTTCAACAGGTTTGTTATTCTAAAATGCCCGCCACATTAGTATGAGGCTCATTATATGTGTTTCTTGGATGGTCAGGGTACTGTTACTATTGACTTGATTAAAATAAAACTCCCATTCTCTTTGGTAATACTGCAGCCACATTTTGATCATGGACTTGCAGATTGTCATAGTAGTCATTTTCTAGTCCTACCATCATTGGATGAGATGACCTTATTCCTACTGCTAACATATACTAAAGTCTTAGTCTTCATCCTTTCCAGGCTAGACTTTAGCTATAACACGAACAATTGGGGTGTCGGTCTTCCTCCCAAGGAAAAAAATGAAAAGAACTGGCCATTGTAAGTGTTTATTAATATTCATTTAGTTCCTCTCTATTTTTCATCAGTTTCTGATGTTTTAATGTTAATTGATGGTTCATCACTTTGGGCTGATCAATTTCTCAGGGCAAATGATGTGACAAAAAAAATTCTTGCTGACTGCTTTCCACTCATAATGTTTCACTTATTTCTAGCATGGGGCATTATCTTATATTTATACTAAAGGTTCCTAGATGCTGATCTGCTTCTGTTTTCAGGATTAAACCACGGTTGGCAGATCCATCCTTCAAGCCTCAGAAAAGACACATCCTTGCTGCTGTAGAAAATTTCTCAAACATGTTAAGGATTAGGTATTCTTCACCACTTTTCCGTTTAAGGACAGCAAATTCCATCCAGGTGAGGCATTATTAATGGAACACTTTTATGTCAACTTATGTCTATTTCTTATACTTAAATTTCCAATTTATCAGAATTGGTTAGGTTATAAAATATCTTTTGGGACATTGGAGTATCTATTTTTTTTCAACCAAGCTTCCTCAAATTAGCTATGCATTTGTTTGCATTTTAGCCTCTCTACTTGCTAAGTGGTGATCCACAATATTGCAAATGGTTGGGAGTGCTTCAAATTCAATTCAATTATAGGTCTGCTAGGCCCAGCCAGACAAATTGTGTTTTAATAATAAGATCCACATCCATACACATGTATAATGGATAAACATGATCTGACATGTTCAACGTATTTGATAATTATGTATCTATATATACATATACAGAAGGATGGTTTTAAATTTATACTCAAACCACATTATATTGGCCAGGAACAAATTTGATCAACTACAAGATGTCAGACCAGAAATCCCCTATTTATATCAAACTTCGTAAAGCTTCACTAATTTGATCAAAATTTTTGCATTTCATCACACCTGATGATCTTAGAATCCCCCCCAAGATCAAACAGACACTGTTTGTGTTGAGCATTGTAACAATTTGCCTTTTGCCTTTCAATCAAAATGTTTGCATTTCCCGGTCCATACACAGACTGGTACAAATTAGGCTTTTCTCCCAAGATCTAATGGCTAGATGTGATATTCTTTTCCTGTTCAGAGAAGAGTACGTTTCCATAATACTGGTCCATCATCAGTCCCTGGGGTCATTGTGATGAGCATTGAAGATGGATATGAAGGGATGCCAGGGTTAGCTCAACTAGATCCCATGTGGGTTAATATAAACTTAGTATCACATTCTCCTTACGTCAGTTCTGCAACCTGCAAACTCTTAATGGATAATATATTTTATATTGCTTTTCTTTTCCCAACAGCTACTCTTGTATCGTCATCATCTTTAATGTATGCCCAACAGAAGTCTCATTTGGGTGCCCTGCACTGCAGAAAAGAACTCTTAAACTGCATCCCGTACAGGTAACAGTGTTTCTCTATTAGGAAGATATTGTCTGTTTCATTGAAGTGCTTTTTCATCCTTTAATCGGAAGCATGTCTGGAATTATAAAACAAAGGATAAAATAAATGGAAAGGTGCTGTCCTTTGAGAAATTAATGTTTTCTCTCTTTGGTCCTGGTGCAGTTGACGTCCACTGACCAGATAGTCAAAAACTCAAAGTACGAAACCTCCTCCGGGAGCTTCATTGTGCCACCAAGGACAACATCAGTCTTTGTGGAAAGTCGTGACATTTGATTGATTTGGTGATAGAATTCAGTTTATCAAGAATCAGAACCAGAACCTAAAGAACAGTATTAGATCCCAAGGGTCAAGCAGCTAGCTAAACATTAAAAATGGCAAGTTCATTCCTCACCTTGAAAATGGATCTTGACCTTGAAGCTGTTTCTCATCAGGTACAGTTTCTAGTCTTATGCACTGATGTTAGTTATATACTTTATGGATTTATTCCAGAACAGTATGACAATTAGATTATTTTCAATGCTGATGTGGAACAGAGGAAAGTTGAAATAGTCTTATCTGAGGTTGGAGTGAGAGAAGGAAGAAGCTAAAATAATGTACATATTGCTCAAGAGGAATAAGCTGCTGAACCAGTTCACGCATCTTGCTAGAATAAAGCTAATTGTAAAGACTCCTGGTGAGCGGAGCACAAGAAATACATCATTATCTAGAGTGCTTCCACTGTATTAATTAAGGTACCAAAGTAGAAATTCTTTATTTTGTGTTTTATTTGGAACAAAATCGCACTAAAATGTCTAAAACTAATGGAATAAAGGAAAACCACTCTTAGTCTCTTACTGATTGGATGTCAAACGTAAAAATGCTAAATTCAATTTTGTGCTTTTTTTTAGATTTTTTTCATTGTTGTGAAACGTCCTCTTGACACCAGGTTAAACTCTTTTTGTCAATATCTTTCATTGCTAAATTGGACGGTTCAGACCCTTGGATCCAGGGCAAATGTGCAAAACGCTGGAGATGGAATTTCTCCAATCAAGGCTACAACATGCATCCTTGGGTACTATAATTTGCCATTTGTTGCTTTTCAGGGATCAAGTACACCCTTGGATGAATCTATGTAAGGAGTGCCCACCCTGCTGGTAGCAAATCTGTTAAATGTTGTCACAAGACTTGGACTGGACTAAATGGTTGAACTGTCAAAACTAGGGACCGGTTGTTATTCTGGTTTTTTGAGAAATGTTTTTCAAATTTCTGAAACCCTAGATAACCCGTTATTAAGCCTATGAAAACTATCTGGGTTTTAAGATTTTAACTCAAGACCTCTCCTCAAATGTATTTACCAAAAAAGACCTTTCCCCTATTTAAGTATATATATGGCAGTTTTGAAAAACAAAACCATTCACATGGCAGAAACTTTATATATGGCAGTTTTGAAAAAACAAAACCATTCACAATGGAAGAGTGGCCATAGGCCCTTGTTTGGAAAATGCAGTGGCCATGTGATAAGCCACATGTTGGTGGAAAATTGGTTATGCTATATTTTCACACAACTAAAATGGAAAGCTATTTAGCTTGGTTTAGGCTAGGTGATCAAGTGATGAGATCTTTAGTTAGTGAGACACTTGTTTCAATCCGGATGGGATTGAATTGGTTTGTTGAGTGTCTTGTTCCCAAGGTTCAGTTTGGAAAGAGTACAAATGCAAATATGTACAGTACAAATAAATACAATTTAGGCTAGGTGATCAAGTGATGAGATCTTTAGTTAGTGAGACACTTGTTTCAATCCGGATGGGATTGAATTGGTTTGTTGAGTGTCTTGTTCCCAAGGTTCAGTTTGGAAAGAGTACAAATGCAAATATGTACAGTACAAATAAATACAAATTCCAAGGTTTTGCACTCTATATGTTTGTATTTGTACTCCTTCCAAATTGAGCCCAATGTGCAAATCAGTTATGTTCTTCACCTTATAAACAACGAAATAGATATTGCGTTAAGCCATTATATAATAAATGGCATCTCATATACGAGATAACAAGAAGGGCAGTAACCTCCCAATGTTTTCAGCCCAATTCGGATTGGGTAGCTCTATTGCGTACTGCTCTAATAGGCTCTGTCTCGGATACTTTGTTTCTTGCAGGTTAGATTGCCCCAGCCACAGCCGTCCATCACAGGGAGCATCCAAATCTGATCGTGTCTTCACCCATGACCCAGTAGCCTTTCGGTTTTACAATTGGTAAATAAACAAACTTTCATAATTCGAGTGGACAGTCTGTTTTGCGGCTCTTTGCTAAGAGGCCCAAGACAACTCTTCCTATTAGACCTGGCAAAAAGTTGATTCAACCCGCGAACCCAACCCAACCCAACCCGAAAAAACAGGGTTAGGGTCTCATTTAGCTACCTGAATGTGAGAATGACCCAATCTAACCCAACCCGGAAAAAACTGGGTTGGGTAAAGGGTCAACCCGTTGATCCGATTGTCAAATCTAATTGGGACTATTTATGCATTGTTAGAAGTTTCCACTCTTTAATTTTTTCTATTTAGTCTTTACTCTTTATTGTTTATTTCTTAAAATGTTAAATGTTTAAGTTTTTTTTTATTTTATATTTGGAATTTTAAGGTTAATTCCTTTAAATTCAACCCTAACCCGAATATTTAGGGTTAGGGTCTAGCATTTGATAACCCAATCCAAAATTCAACCCAACCCGAAATCAACCCAAAGTGTCTTGACCCAACCCAAACCTAAGCCCGACCCACCCAACCCAATTGAGTAGACTTAGTAGTGATATGGTGAAAAGGCTACGTTCAACAGTTCAATACCCAACCTTTTTATTCGAGTTTTTAGCTATGGCAGGGTTCAACTTTACATACTTTATGTATCACGACCCACTCCAACCTAAGAGATTACTGACAAATTTAATCTAATTATTTGGATAGTGAAAAAAAATAAAAAACAATCCTTACAACTCAAATTGCAATGATCATGTGGCCAATTAAGCCTTTCTGATTTTATATTATCAAACCTTTTAGGGAGATGGCAATTATAAAATAAAATGGTAATCAAATGTTAGACTAAAACTCTGTAATTTGTCCACTATCACGATACGTATCGATCGATACGGGCCGATACTTTAAACATTGGCTTAAGTCTTTTCCACCCCCTAAACTGGTCAGAACCCCGATACACCCCCTGTAGGCATGTATCAAGAAGCCACTGGCACGATACGTATCAGCTGATACGTATCAATACTTTGAACCTTGTACAATACCAAAAAAAAGGGAGAATGACGGAGCTCAGGGTCAGAATTTTTAGGCCCAAAGTACAGTTGGGGTTGGTGCCAGCTCGGAATTGATGCCAATTCATGGGTGCGCATTGATGCATAGAGTGGGGGCTTTTGATATTTTGAATGTTTATAACTCTGAAATGGAATTCAGAATTCAGAAATCTGCATCGGGCCTGTCCCTACTTTTCTGAAAAAAAAAATATATATATATATATATATATATATATATATATATATATTTATTTATTAGAAGATCAAAAGGAACATTACAAATGTATTATCTCACAGTTGGGGTTGGATGCCCATGCTTGGCTGAAGGCACATGTGGATCTCTTGTGGGCATACGAGGCCACGCCGTTTCCTTGTTACAATTTCATTATAGAATAGTGAATCGGCCCATTTAAACACGTGTCAGCATCACCCCATCAGAAGCCATGCCACACTTACGGGCGTGTAGTCCACGCTCAACAATAATATAAATTAAAGAAACCCTATGAATTTAGATGTAGATATAGTCTCTCTCTTTCAATGGCCTTCATCTTGGAGTTAGAAGCTCCACGCTGCCTGTTCACCCAATATTCTTCCCTCTCTATGGTTTGAGAGAGTATCAGAGTACCACCTAATTAAAATATTTTCAGAAGTAGAAAACGTTGACACAAGCTAATTAATTAAAAATCAAACTTTACTAAATTAAGAACCTCAATCTAAGGCTTGGATCTCCATTCTACTGTTTAATTGAAATTATATATATTAAAGTATGTAAGTAAAAACATGATAACATTAAATAGTTTCAATTTGTATTCTGTTTCAATCAAGGAGTTGTATGAGGCTCCAAGCCCTTACTATTTAATTATTAACTGTCACAATGACAGGAGCTCCATTTGATTCCGTTCACACAGAGAGAGAGAGATGTTTACCCTCCAGCCTCTATTATTACTAATACTAACATGTAAACCTCCTAGCATCCATGTATGCATGAAAGAGAAAGGAAGTAAAACACCTAGAAATGGAGAATCCAGCATTCCAGACTCCTCAAGCCCAATTTGGTGACTCTGGTTTATTTCATGATTTCATTGACGATGACAACTTTGAGCAATTTATCAGTCTCATTAGAGGAGAAAATGCAGATCCCATCACTGCTTTCAACTCTAATTATGATGCAGAGCTCGTTTTCGATCATGGGTTATTGGTTGAAAGTCAATCGTGTCCCACCACCTTGGGAGATACGTTTGCTTTCAACTCCACGTGTAATTCAGAGCCCAACTCCATTTTCATGCCATTACCACCCTTCAGTGGAGATGTGGAGGGAAGGGATGATGAAAATGATGGTGATGGTGACGATGATTCTACTGCAGCAACGACTACAACTAAATCGGAAAACAAGACAAAAGGCGACCGTTCGAGAACGCTGGTTTCTGAGGGGAGGAGGAGAAGTCGAATGAAGGAGAAGCTCTACGCATTGCGTTCCTTGGTTCCTAACATCACTAAGGTCTACCTCTCTCTCTCCCTCTAATACATCTAATGAATAGTTTTCAACCTGCTGGGTTTCTGGGATTAATAATGCAGATGGACAAGGCATCCATTGTAGGAGATGCAGTGTTGTATGTGCAAGAGCTGCAAACGCAAGCTAATAAGCTACGAGCAGAAATAGCAGAGCTTGAGTCATCCTTCAAAGGAGAAGAAAGATATCAGAGTTTGRTCGTCGACAGCCCAAMGAAGACAAAGCAAGCGTTTGCACAGAAGAAGCATCATCCAGTTTGTAGGCAGATACTCAAGGTTTTGTTCACAATTRATTAGAATATAATATATTAATAATTCTTATCTGTATTTAATTAATTATATAATACAACAGGCTAGCTGCAGATAATGAAATGGTTTCTTTTACAGATGGATATATTTCAAGTAGAGGAAAGAGGGTTTTACGTGAGGGTAGAATGCAACAAGGGAGAAGGGGTGACTGTGGCTCTTTACAAAGCACTTGAGTCCCTAACGGGATTCCACCTTCAGAGCTCCAACTGTGCCACGGTTTCTGATCAGAGATTCGTCCTCACATTTACTATCAACATAGTATGATATGATCGATCACTTAATTGACGTACAATAGATCTCGATGAATTTAATATAATCTTGTTCCTGTTTAGTTCATCGTGTATATATATATAACTGTGCTAATAAAATAAAACAGGTTGGAGAATGTGGGGAAGAGATGATAAACTTGTCGTCACTGAAGATATGGGTGGCTGGAGCTTTTCTCAACCAGGGATTCGAATACAACAACTACGTCTTGTCTCCTTGATCACTTACTCTTTCTTCCCTCAACATGGATTAATTTCTACAAAATAGTGTATCAGTACTTCTCTCTATAGAAGTTGCTATATAGTCTATAAACTGTACTATGACTTAACCAATAAGGGGATAGAAATGGGCTTACCTGCAATCATCAAGCTCCACAAGTTTTTAGTTTAAGCACTGAAAAGAAATGAATTGGCCTTTCGAATAAAGCATGATATTAATCTAGTATAAGTATGATATTAAATAGTTGTATATTATTGTTACTTGATATGGAAGGAATTGTTTGGAGCATTCAATGTGATTGGATGCTGCCCACTAATTTATGGATTTCTTATATCAAAATCCAAAAATGCTACAAGTGTTTGGAGTAGGTCAACCAAAATATATTTAATTTAAAACGCATGACAAATGAGTGACCAACTGAAGTACTGTGGGTTTACACCCAACAAGAAAAAAAGAAAACTGAACTACTGTAATATTGTGCAGTTTAAAGTGGCAGTGGGATTTTTGTGTAATAATATCAAGATTTTGAAAATCGACCTAGAGACCGAACTGCTTTGGTGTCCAGTTTTTGGATCAGCGGCTTGACCGTAATGGATCACCTCGAAACATATTTAAATATAAAATAAATAAAAATAAATAATTACAAAATAAAATTGACCAAAAAACCGTTCAGCAGGTCAAATGGTTTAGAGGTTCAACCATCTGGGTTGGTGATTCTCTGACCATGTCAGCGGTTATTTGATAAAAAGATGGTTCATTCAAGGGTAAAACGGAATTAGCTGTATGGCCGATTTCCAGGCCAAACAGTCCAACCATCCAGATCAATGACAGTTCGAAAACCATGTATAATATTGTAATGCTTCCATTTGTAATTGCCAAAAATTTCACTTATATGTAGTGAGGTGGCTGAACTTAAAACTTATGGTTTAAATTTTTATTGAATAAGGATTTTAAGGAGGTTGTGGATTCTTTAGTAGTTGAAGTTGAAGTTGGGTTTATTATTATACCCTTGAATATTTTTTATTAAGACAAAACAATAAGTTATTCAGTTCAGAAACTTAGAGAGATAAGAGCAGATAACTGCCAAATTTTCTAGCCAACAATAGCATTTATCAGAAGTGCTTCTTCTTTACCTACATTTCAACTCAAGACATCCCCTATATAAGCTTATGATTCTGTTGCTTGAAGACTACGAGAGGCTTCCTTATGTATTTTCTTTCGAGTTTTGTTTTATAGGTGGGGTTGAGAATTGAGATGGTGAGGTTGTGTGCTTTGTATTCTGAGCTTCTTGACATGTTCATGAAGCTTCACGTTATATATAATAGAAAAATAGCAAAAGCAAATTCAATTGGAAAGATTTGGAAGAAAACAAGGAAGGAGATTAGATTTCTGTCCATAAAAGCATAGATGGACATCGGCCCATTTCAGCAACTCCTCGTTGCAACCAATGTGGTCCTCCACAGACAACTACCACCAGGGGCGGAGCCAGGGGTGGCAGAGGGGAGCCATGGCCCCCACTATGCCTTGAAAATCCTCATAATAATTGTTTAAATTTCACATATATTTTGCCCCTCTTATCCATGTTTTTTATCTTTTGGCCCCCCCTATCCATGCTTATTACACTTTGGCCCCCCTCAATAAAGAATCCTGACTCCGCCCCTGACTACCACCCTATCAAATTACAAACTAGGTGGTGTGAATTCAGTTCTTTGGGGTAATCGGAACCACATACATAGAAGCAATTCATCGTCCATCAATCCCCACAAACCCTAATTGTGATTCTTTGAAGCTTTTAATTTTAGAGCCCATTTGGGAGGATTGAAGCCCTCCCAAATGGGTCCTTGTTAAGATGGCACGGTAACACTCAGGCCCAGTTTTTAATCGTTTTCCTAATAATTCCTTCTTAATTAATTGAGAAATGAACAGCCGGATCTTTTAGATTTTTCACATTTTCTGAAGTAATTCAGATGTTATTTTTTAAGGTTGTTGTGTCCGATATATGCATTTGTTTTTAAATGTGAATTATTTTGCTTTTCAAATATCATAAACATTGAAGCTGGCCGGCCTTAAAACACTTTTCGCAAAAGAAATTGCCTTTTGATGGAAATCATTCAACTAATTTTGATTTAATACATCCACCAGCTAATGTCATTGTTTTGTTTATTAAGGATAAAATTGTAGAAAATGTATTATTTTTATTAAAGCATGATTTCTTTTGTCTTATTAAAATTAAAAAAAAAAAGAGCTTAGGGTGCTCCGATGGCAATTTGCCACCTGATTACACAAAATATTACACCCAAACCATTAAGGATTCTTTTTTGTTTTTATTTTCTGATAGCTAAAAAAATAAATAAATTAGAAATTTAGAATTCATGAATTAGGGGTGCAAATCCTATCCAATTATTCAAACTTGAATTCAAATTCGATCTCATTAAGGATGATATGAGTTCAATTCGTTTATAATTGGACCAAACATAGATTCACTCCTATCTGATTAGAAATAATTTAGTTTGATTCAATTAAAATATATATTCTCCCTACTAAAAATTTATGCTATATCTGATTTAAAAATTGACTTATATTTTACTTAAATTGTCATAGGTCCAAGTTTCAAACAAATTATTACACAGGTTATAAAAGGTCCAAAACTCCTTAAAAGTAGAGAGTATAACTGAAAATATGAAATATTGGTTCGATTTAAAAGAAAGAAAAAGGCCTCCCGGTTCGATTAACACCACACAGACTATTCTGTGGAGCCAATCTCAAACAAATAAAAAAAAAAAAAATGGAAGCCAGCTAACACCACTCTATCTTCAAATGTCCCGTTGCAGCCAAAATCCCTTCTCTTCAACCACTTAAGCATTAGCTCAATAGATCCAATATTGGAAAAGTGAGCAATGTAAATTGCTGAAACCTCCCCCCTCAAGTTTAGTAATTGCAATCACCTTTCCTAAAGTTTTTAATATAGTTATAAGTAGACCTCCTCCGATAAGATTTTCTTAAAAAAGACATGAAAATGTCTACAATACACATGTTATTATTGAGGCTGGTTTTTAGGAGAGGAATTATACAAATTTTACGAAAAACAAAAATAAAGAGAATTTATTACAGCTTTACTTTTAAGTGATTGATATGAAAGACAAATTTAAAAAATAAATTAATTTAAAAAAAAATTAAAAAGATTTTGGATAATGATTTATACAACGAAAAATTTTGAAAAATAAATATTTTTACTAAAAGTAATTGCATGATATTTTTATGCCTTTTTTAAGAAAATTCTACGAGAAAGAGTCTATTTGCAACTATAGCTGAATTTTCTAGCCAATGAATAATAGACACGAAGGGGTTACAGGGATTCTTAGAATGATATCGCTCCCACCACATCTGCACACCCCACCGATTTCCAAGTTTCAGCCACGTGAAATTTAGGGGGAAGTCGTTTTCCAGTATAATAGGCTGCCGGCCGTCCGGTAGCAAGAGAAAGGGCGATAGAGCTTAAAACAGCAAAAGCAGCAGCCTGGGTGGGGGTTGGGACCCAGTTAACCACATGGGGTGGTTCGAAACCTGTTTTTGACTATCCAGAGAAAGAGACATCCTCATTCCTCTGTCTCTGTGTTTTGTTTCTGACCATTTCAAGCTTTTTCTGAACCGAAATCAGAATCAGAAGTAATCATACCGTCCACGATTCCTGCCTATCCATCCAACATTCCAATCCTACTAATAAAAATTCAAATTTCGCATCACCTCGAAAAAAAAAAACTTTGGCTGTCTACATTCTACAGCCTTGACTGTGAACAGGGTTCTTTATTGAGCTACACATTAATTTGACACTGTTACAACTTAGAAGTCTTGTTAAATTTGGCAAAATCTATCATGCCGAATATACATGATATCAGCATAACTTTCGCCAATCAAAACCCTATGATTTTTTTGTTAAAAACCCACCTGATTAATAGAAATGGCAATTTGATCTGTTTCCCGTAGGGTTTTGTCCCACCCCACCTTAATTGAGGCGGTTTTTTTGATAGGGCAGGTTTTGGAAAAACCCAAAACATTAAAAACTAATAATTAGATGGGGATGGTATTTATCCAATTAACGTGGGGTAGGACAAATTTAAGGATTTCTGTTCGCTATTGGGATTAAGGGTATTAACGGACCGCTTTTGGACTGGATCCCCGTCCAAACCAAAATCGATTTAGATGGATTGGATGGACCAAAATATTTATTGGATTGGATTGGACCTGGTCCATCTATAATGAATTTATATTAGATTGGGTTGGATTGAGCCAACATCTAATCCATTGATGGAAGATAAGAATATAGGTGTCAATGGATTAGGTTTGGTTTAAAGCCAATCTAAATTAAAACAAATTTGAACAGATTGGACGGTCCAGACATTGAATTGGACCCATCCAAAATAATCAAACTATTCATTGGATTGGATTGGACCTAGTCCATTTGTAATAGATTGACACTGGACTGGATCGGATTGAACCAAATCCAATCTAATTGACACCCATAATTGGGACAGAGATGGGGTTGGGATTTTTAACCACATTCACATACAACAAAGTATTTGCATGCAAAACCTGGCCCCACCCCACTCCATTGCCATTTCTACTAATTGGTTATAAGTTTTTTTAGTATCACATCTTTATGACATCATAGTTGAACCCTTTAAATTAACTAAATCGAATCAACCAAATCAATTATATTGATTCCGCTTATGTGATATTGTGATATGTGTTTCAATTAATAATTGGGTTAGGAAATGTTGTCCTTTCAAATCAAATATATAGTTAACATTAGCATACAAATGTTCCTAATTTTATTGTATTTTTATATTTGAAAGGATAGCCATCTTATTTTGAAGCAGATCCTAAGGATGCAAAGAGATCGGATTGGATTTGAATAAGGGTATATCCAAATCCAATTCAATAACACATATCCTAGACCCGATTAGATCTCACAAAATAGTGATTCGGATTTAAATCATTAAAGATATTAGATATCCGATAGATCCAATTCAAATTTTAAAAATTTTAATAAATCATTAAAAGAAAAAAATAATAATTTATATAAAGGAAAACAAAAATATATATTTTCATCATATATACTAAAATATACGTATCCTTTTATAAAAAAGTTATAAAAAAAATACAATATATATTATATAAATAATATATTAATAAAATTTAATCTAATTTTCAAATTCAATCGTACCCTATTATCCAATTCAATTCAGTCAAACAATCTAACAAGAGGTTATCGCCAAAAAGATCGGATTTCAAATCAGATGATCCAGTCCATTTGCACCCTTGGCGGATCGCCGGATCCGATCCATCGACACTCGAGAGGAGAACCGTGTTTACGGTCCATGATGTCAATGCTAGACAGCAAATTTTGGTCCACTACATACGCACAAACGGACACACCTACTTCAGCTTGTTTTCCGTTCAATCATTGCTACTTAAATTACAGACAAACAGTAGCATCAAAAGTATCCTCCTCTTCGGATCCGCTTCCCTTGTTTACTTTATTTAATTCTTTTGTTCACTAATTACTCCTTACACGTAATTCCCGTGTTTTTAGTCTTTAAGAGATATGGATGGATTAACCTGGCCCATCCAACCCACGAGATCGGCCCAGTCCAACAATATTTTATAAAATTATCAAAGAGTGTGGATAAGGAGTGTGGTCGTGATGCCTCGGGATGGGTAAGCACTACCCCTTGTCCTTGATCGAGATTTATGACAAAAAAAAGCCAGACAGGACGAACAGCTACGGATCCTTTGGTTTAACACCGCCGGATCGGATCTGTCATCCATGAAATGAGAATCTACATTGCACCATCTGCCAGTAAGGACTACTTACTTGCCACGTCTGCTGATAGTGACTTGACATGCATCCACCACCGTCCATGATAACTCCATATCATCCACCTTCATACTATTTCTACTGCTACCTTCAGACGAGTTCTTACTTCTTAGACAGTCTCACATGCGAATCGGTCTCGTAATCATTCCCGTCTTAATATTGCCATTTTTTAACTCCCTGTTTGGTTCTTTGATTTGATTAATTTTTTTATCCACAACAATTTCAACACGTGATGGCAATCGCTGCCGTTGGTGTCAGAGCGCTACGTAATCAGAGCCCTTATCATCCCGGTCGTTCCGGTAGCCGGTCAAATTATCATTTACTTCTCGGTTCACCCGGCGGGACTTTCTACGTTACGACTTACCGTTAAGTCCGTGACTTACCGCCACCACGAGTCCCCCCCCACCCCACACTCCATGCTTCACCTCTTCACGAGTGAAAAGGAAGAGAACAGAGTTGCGTAATACGTTACTCACCAGAAGATAAACGCTATGATCTACATCGTTGGATCATTTTGTGGTTCATCGTGTGTGTATATGAATCACAAGATCATCCAGCCGCACCAGAGACCAGAAGATCAATAAAATGGAGCAGAGGATGATCGCAATGAAATCAGAGGACTGAAACACAATTACACAATTTCAATCCTGCCCACCCGAAACACACGATAGCATTCAGGGAAAGCAGATGGTGGAGATGGACATGTTGTGAACTTGTGATCGACGGTGGTGATGGTGAATTCAACACAAGAAGTACGGCAAAAAAAGACCCTCAACACAACTACATACAACAATGGGAAGCCGGCCGGCCGGCAGTCCGTCAACCGGACGCACTTCCTTCCGGTGCTTTTCCTTTGCTCGCTTTTCAGTAGTCTGCTGCGGTGGGCAACTGCTCGTGAGAGTGGTTGATGAAGAAGAACTCGTAGACGAGACCAGCAAGCCCACCTCCGATCAGAGGGCCGGCCCAGTAGACCCAGTGGTTTTCCCAGGTCCAGCTCACCAAAGCCGGTCCGAATGATACAGCCGGGTTCATTGAAGCTCCGTCAAAGGCTCCACCGGCCAAGATGTTGGCGCCCACGATGAAACCGATGGCAATCGGTGCAATCGTTCCCAAGCTGCCCTTCTTTGGATCAACTGCGGTCGCGTACACAGTGTAAACAAGACCGAAGGTCATCACGATCTCCAGCACGAACGCGTTCCACACGCTCACCCCAGAAGACAAAGAGAAGGCGGAGGTAGTCTACAGCATCAGAACATCACCCAGTCAGAAAACAAGGCCCAAGCCCACTTTAACGGTCAAAGCAACGGAAATAACTAAAACTTTACCATCCCCCCCACGTGGTTGGTGCTAGGTGGTGCTACTTACCAAGCCACCAGTGGCGAACTTAAGAAGCAGGCAAGCGACGGTGGAGCCGAGGAGCTGAGCGATCCAGTAGAGGATACCGCGGAGGAGAGTAATGTTGCCGCCAACGAAGGCACCGAAGGTGACAGCAGGGTTGACGTGGCCTCCGGAGATATTGGCGCCGACGGAGACGGCGACGAAAAGACCGAAAGCGTGGGCCAACGCTGCGGCGACGAGGCCGGCAGGGGTGCTGGAGCCATTGCTGGTTAGCTTATTGAAGGCCATGCCGGAACCCTCTCCGGCGAAGACGAAGATGAGTGTAGAGATGAACTCAGCCAACGCGGCTCTCAAGGCGTCGGGGTGAGTGGCCTCCTCGGGCCTACCAACAGCGATCCGGTTGATCGGCATCTTGTCACAATGGAAAGATCACACGTCTCAAGTCTCTCAACTAGCCAAAGAGCTCTCTCTCTCTCTCTCTCTCTCTCTCTCTCTCTCTGAGAGTTTCCTCCTGTTCTCCACTCTGGGTCTCACAAGAACTGATCTCCTCATCCAATCTGGTGTCTCCAACTCTCCATTTATATTGGGAGAACGAGGTCCACCGCAACCGTCTGTAGCCGGTTCCCCGGTCATCAACACTAAACCCTTTTTTTTTTCGTAATAATTTTCGGCTTTGGAAGCGGGAATAGCCGTTTGTCCTTGTAAATACAGCTAAGCGTTCACCTCCAAAACGGTGAGAGGAAGACACGTGTGTGTCTTGGATAATAGCCACGTAATGTCGGCTCTCCAGCGATGTGACAGCCGAGAGTGGACGTTGTCTACTTTGCTACAATGCTAGACACTCTGGAAGGATCGGACGATTATTTTAAAAGAAAAAATTGAATTAACAAAGGAGAAGCAGAATTTAATGGATTAAATTTTTAATTCCGTCGTGATGGTTTGTCCATATTTTCTCGATTGGGGAATCAGGAATCTTTTAATGAATTAAATAAACAAATTAATGTTATTATCAAATAATAAGCAAGAAAAATTGAGTAAATTAAGCAATAAAGAGAAGGAGAGTGAAAGAGTGAACCACTCAAATTTGATTAGTTTTGCCTCTGTTTGGATTAGTTTGTTAATCTCTAGAGATTCTTTATGTCTGTTTTCTATTCGAAGAAATAAAGCATATTGATTATTGAGTTGGGTTCATAATTGTTACTTTCTTTGTACACGTCACATTTTTGGGTTCATTCACCCACTGTTTTTTGTATCAGGTGTTAGATTTTGTCCTCTCAATTGCAGACTCATTAATCCTTTGCTTATTTGATCATGTGGCTTTGCTGGAAACTATGCAAAACTGAGCTAGAAATGGACCCAAATCAGAATTTAAACAAGCAAAGAGGCCCCTTGTTTTAATGTTTTTCTTCCAAGTTTGTTTCAACAGTTTTTGGGCCTAATTGCACCTAATCCTGCTGCCTTGATTGCATCTGTTCTCCTCGGTGATTTTCCTACTGCTGTATTTGGTTGCAATGCAATGCAAATAAATTTGCACTGATGTAAAATTATAGAAGTGCAAATGATTTGAATGTAAAATTTGACTTATTTTTTAACTTATTTTGTTTGATTGCAATACAAATGAAGTAAATTAAGACATGAAGCAGAATAAAGTAAAATCCAAAACAGAATTAAATGAGAATTTACTTGTTTCTTTTATTTGCACTCTCATACATTTGTATTAATACAAATAAAATTACACTGCAACCAAACGCAGCCTAAGCAAACAGTATAGAAATAAGTAGTGACTACTGGATCAGAAACCCAAATTTTGAAATTTTGGTGAATGCCTTGCCTTGAAAAGACATAACATCCCGGGTTAAGTGCATGGTTTTAAATGTAACCCAAATTTTTTATTGAAACATTTTACTTATTTTGCTTTTAAAAACACGATTTAAATTTGAATTTGACAAGCAATAGCTATGCTTATTTGAATAATATATATTTCATTTTCTTGTGATATATCATTACATATTTCAAGAAAAATATGATATGTCAAATAAAGAATTAATAATAAATAAAATTATATTTTTTTTGTTTCATTTATTATGCATTTTTATTATAGAAATATATACAATATGGGATAACAAACAAATAAAAAAAAAAGAAAAATTATTGCATTTAAATTTTGTCCAAACAAAAACCCAAAACTTATATTTTGATATTTGATGGAATTTTAATGGCATTTACAATCGGATCATCTCAAAACCAGGCAACACCACCCTATTGATCTAGGGCCCAATATTACTTGTTGTTTGCCATATGCTCAGACAATAAGTACTACTGTCTGAGACAGTTCTTCAGTCTTCTTCATGAGTACACTGGTTCACAAGATGCTATGAGCTACAGTGGAGTTACTTGGCACAATCTAAATGAATGCAGGTGAACAGACATTGTTGATCATTCATTAGTGCAGGTTAAGTGCTACTAATAATCTTTGACAAGACTAATTTAATAACTAGTGGGTCCCAATTCTCTAGCTTTGAGTTGAGACATGTGGAGACTTGTGGGCGATAGATAATTCCCTCTACAATTGCATTCAACTTAGCCGAATATAATCATTCAACTGACCAACAACTGTTCATTATCTATGATTTGTTCAATAATTCCAAGTTGATGAGCTCACAACTTCCAACATGAGAACATAGTTTATGGATTTTCCCAAGAATTTCTCTTCAGTAGAATATATTTTAGTGAAGCAGTAGAATTCTATGTGAAATTTAAAGTTTAATAAATGAAAAAAAAAATCAATTAAGAAGAGAAAAATGGTAGAAAGGATGAGATAATATTCAGTCTTCTTTATTTTTACCCTTTTTTTCTGTGTACTTTTTTATGATGAACCATTTGTTCTATTTTGCCTTGTAAAAGCTAGACTGAGTTCTGGGTTCCTTTACCATCATCCATTTTCCATCTATTTTACTTGCAACAAAACCCAACAGGCAAACACAGCTTTGATCTCTTTGCTCACCTATTGCATTGCTTTATGGGTAAAAAACATATAACCTGGAAAAAGATTGAAAGAAGTACATGAAAGATTCATATTCCCCTCTTCTCCACTGTGTAATGCAGGCCACTAAATTCAAAATCTCGAAAAGGTGAAAACGACTTGGAAAAAGTTGAGTTTTTGATTTCGACTACATGGCTTTTAGCCACTTAGAACCAAATTGGCTCTAACAATCTCAGCTGCCTATAGAGTGTAGACTCTACACTTGAAAGATAGCAGTGTACTTCTAAGAAATATTAGCTTTTATCTTGGTTTAGGTACATCATAACATCAAAAGCCAGAGAGTAAAAAAGGGCTAAAAGCAAAAGTGTATTTTAATCTATCAACTAGGTTTTTCTATGTACATATTTTATTCCTTTCAAATCTGAACAAAGCCAAGTTTCACCTAAATGAAGTTGCTTTCAGAAAGATCTTTACTGGGCTTTTGCAATCTGGTCCTAATTGCCTCAGATTGTTGCTTGTTTGATGGAACTTCAAGGGTCATCTAAATAGGAACCTTGTACATCATATTGGGCCAATAAGTCAAGAATAGTGAAATATTGATTTGAAGTATGAGTTTAGAAGTAATAACTCCAAGCAGAGAGATCTTTATTCAAATTCCTGTACTTGTAAAAAACAAATGAAATGACTAAATAAACATTAGAAATAAGAATAAGATAGGGAAAACATTTTCTCACTGCATTTAAATCAAAGAGATTTTGAGAGAGAGATAATATTGTAAGGCCCTTAGTGAGTTCTCCCCGGGTCATCATGTCGGGTTCTAACTTACATTTCTAACCCGACCCGACCCAACCCGATTGGAACTACTGTAATTTGGCAGGAGGATCTCTGTAGTCTGTACCACCATTACTTTATACCCCAAAACTTGACATTACCAAAGGTGTAGTAGGCCGGCCTGATCCCAATCAATGAAAGCAAAAGGGCATGATCCAGACCCACCCACCCACCCTCATAAAGGGTCTCGGGTTATGATGCTTTCTCCTCCCACCACCTCCACTTCATTTAGTTTGATGGTACAAATTCGTTCAAGGTAAGGACCAAACAGCCCTTACAATTAGGCCCACTTGAGTGATACTTGTACAAGTGGGCCCATTTTGATGTATTAGTTTCTCTTACTAAACATTTCCTTTCTTTGCTTTTTCAAATGTTTTATAATTAGAGGTTGTAATCAGAGATGCCGTTGATTCACCATTGCTCATGTAAATTGGAGTTATGAGTGTCAGACAAATTAACCCATCAACTTCAATTAAACCGAGAGTGTACACTCTTTTAACCTTGAATTCGTCACTGTATGAACAGAGTTCCCAAACAAAGTCAAAGTGGAAAAGGGTTTCAGAGAAAAAAAAAAAGAAATTGTTAGATAAATTTGGGCCGTTTGTGGGTTGGTCAGTGGGCCCATGATTAAAATAAGTAGTGTATGCCCGGTTTTTTACCATTTCCGGGTTTCATGAGTGGAATTAGGACCCGTGATCCATGATTCCAGCCTTCCAGGCTGGCACTCAGACGGGTCGGACACCCGGACTTGCCCAATCTTCACTTGACAGCTTTACAAAGAGACCACCATGGGTGAGATGGGGACCATCACGTGTTCAGTGGGACTCGTTTGCTTTCCTGATCCTAATCCACAACATCAAATATGATATATTTTTTCAGGGGAACAGGGGAAGGTTGTAGACATGGTTGTCTTACTCTTGATCCTGCTGTGCCTCCTACTCTAATATTATATTACCTGTTATACTGTATTGGTGGTATGTGAATAAAAAGGAAACCCCTCCAACCTCTGTAACTGGAAACATTTCGATTTTAATCTAAGTGATAAGTATGCCATGAATGGACCGGGTCGGATCTGGGCTTTGATCCATGTTATTTGGTGGATTATTTAGAAAGAGATGAGCAGAAAGTAGAGGGAGACTTGTTAAGGAATTTCACAAATTCTGTTAAGAAGTCTGCCTCAAGTTTCTCTGTTTCTCTCTCGTTTTCTATCAAACCAAACATAGCCTAAATGCTGCCAAATGGTGGATAATGAATTAAACTACTCCTGATCATAAACAGACCCACATGGGAATAAACAATTGTTGACTAATATCCAATTAAATAATGATCTCTACGATTCAAAGCATTGGCAATTATTCAATAATCCAACCATTAATCAAATGTTATATTTGGATTTTTACTATTGTCTTGATTCAACTTAAACTTTTTCTTTTTTGGTTTTTCAGAGTTTTGTATTGGTCATGAGCACCTTGCTGCTTTTATGGTTCCTATTTTCAAACGACCCCTGATTAGTTCCATGTGAAAACAACTCTACTAACACATGCATTCAGTATTTTGGGAAGAGAAAAAACAAAAATATAAGCAAAAAGATAATTAAAACAATTAGGGTTGTTTAACACCATGACCAAGCTCGACTTATCAGTTTGTAATGAGGCCAGAAAGAGCTTATCCTTTTGGCCCCAGTAAACCAGGTAGATTGCTTATCAAATAGGCACATTATTATGAATTTATGATTCTACAATAAA